TGCTATTTCAAACCAAACATAGCTTGGTAATTATCTCTATAAATAGTACTGTTTTTATCCAGTTTATCAGCATCATTTTTTTCTAAGTAATACCTAAGTGATATTTTGGGCAAAGAATAAGCCAGGAATATATTTAGTAATCTCATTTCTAATACTGGTTATACAAAAGCAGTTCAATTGCTCAAAAAAACCTTCACAGGATTCTAAGTAAGGATGTTGACCAACCAATTAACTGCAGGAAAAGGATACAATATAACAACAGCATTGAAACAATGATATGGATCACAGTATCACTGTCTCACTGCAAGTGGTTTGGAAAAGAGAGCAGGTGAGCATGTAGATCTTTTTTTCTGTAAGGTTCATAGGTATGTGCACTTTCTGTCTGGAATCAGGAACCACTTACATATACGTAGAACACTGTGGAACTAGGGATTCCAAAGTGGAATTTTAGTTGGGTTTTTAAATATAATATTGCTTACTTACCATATTTCTGCAACAAAATCAGCCCCAACCATAGAACTCTCTGGGGTCTCACTGATACCAAATGTAAGTCCACTGTCTCACTCTAATAAACAATGCTGACAATCAGGCAAACAAAACAGACGAACAAAGGAAGCAAACGCTGGAAATTCTTTGAATCCAAGATTACAAAAGCAATGTTATTTATTAATTAGCATGTTTGAGATCTTGACTAGAGGCTAGTGTCATGCAGGAAATTAAGCACAACAGCTCTGGGAAATTCCAGAACTGATGCAAATTACCCTTCACAGCATGTTATAAAATTGACTTCCTGTTCCTAGTTTTACTATTTTGATTAGAAATTTAAATATATAAAAATTATTTTACTGCACTTACTTAAATGATTTATTTTTCATTTTTTCAAAGGTAACTACAGAAAATTACATTTAACGTTTCATCTAATGTTAAACCATGCTTGTATTTCTGGAAAATATACTTTAGTCATGATGTATTGTCTTTTTGGTACCGTTAGATATGGTTTGCTGGTATTTTAGAGGGAAAGTTTTCTGCTTTTGTTTGTGAAATTTCACATGCATAATTTCCTTTCTCACATATGCCTTTTCTGGTATAGTTCCAGTTGATAGCCGCCTCATTGAATGAGCTGGTGAATGTTCTTCATTTTTCTGCTCTTATAGAGTTTGTAACAATAATTTGCTAGTTAATTGTATGTGTCAACAAGAGTGAGTTAAAGGATACCCAGATAGGTGGTAAAACATTATTTTGGGGAGTATTTTTGAAGGTGTTTCTGGAAGAGCTTAGCATTTTAATCAGGAACTGAATAAGCAGATGGCTTTCTCCAGTGTGGGTGGGCATCACCCCCATACATCTTGAAGAGAACAAAATGATGCAGGGAAGGTGAAYTTACTCCCTCTGCTTGAGCCGAGACATACACCTTCTCTTGCCATTGTACCTGCTGCCAGTTCTTGGGTTTTGAAATTCGGACTAGGTCTTAACATCACTGGCTCTCAGTTCTTAGGTGCTTGGACTTGAAYTCATTTGTATCATCTGCTTTCCTTGTTCTAGAGCTTACAGGTGGCAGAACATGGGACATATTGGTCATCATAGTAGTGTATGCCAGTTCCCAATAATTAATCTCTTCCTATTGGTTTTATATCTCTTGAATGTCATGTGTGTGTGTGTGTGTACACGTATAGTATATATGTTTTTTTTTCCATAAAGATGGACATCTTAGAAATTAGGTCTAATGTTTTCTTATGAGATAATTTCAACTTTTTGACTCAACTTCTTTAATGCCTATCCAACCTCAAATCTTTTTCATTCTTCAATCAATTTTCATTATATTTTTAGAATTCTGACTTTTAAGTTTTTAATATGCATTTTTATAAAACTGTTCCTCTTTTCAATCTTTGCTGTGCAACAACTAGTGCATACTAGAATTTTAGAAGCACCATTGAACATTATATATTTTTATTGAAAAACATAACCCTGAATCATTTTATTTATTATTCTGTTTTAAAATGTTCTTGTTAGAGTGTACACACTGAAAAGTACACAAACACTAAGAGTCTGATGCATTTCCACAAACCCAGATTGAGAAACAACATTTACCTGTAATCCCTGAATTTCAGTGCTATTGTTCCACTAGTTTTGAGCTTATGCAAATAAAATCATGCCAGTTGTGGTGGCGCACCTCTGTAATCCAAGAGGCTCAGGAGGCTGAGGCAGGAGGAACATAAGTTCAAAGCCAGCTTCAGCAAAAGTGAGGCACTAAGCTACTCAGTGAGACCCTGTCTCCAAATAAAATACAAAATAGGGGTGGGGATGTGGCTCAGTGGTCAAGTGCCCCTGAGTTCAATCCCTTGGACCCAAAACAAATAGATAAAAATAAAAAAATAAAATCATAATAAAATGGCTTTTCTTGTTTGACATTTATTATATGTATCGTTGTAAGTTCCCTATACAAAAGTTCATTTGTTCTTATAGCTATAGGAGAACAACACAATTTATCCATCCTACTATTGGACATTTTAGTTGTTAGTCTTTCACAGAAACAATTCTATTATAGATATCCTCATACACACCTTTTGGTGAAGATGTAAGTCTTAGCCTGCTTCTGTTACTACATCAAAATAATTCAGATTGGGTGACTTACAAATAATTAAAAATAATATTTCTCAGTGCTGGAGGCTGAGAAGTTCATTATCAAGGTGTCGGCAGACTGGGTGTCTTCTCTGCTTTCAAGGTGGCACTTTCTTGCTGTGTGTTCAGATGGCAGAAGTTAGACGCAGAAAAGGGACTAGAATGCTCCTTTTAACCTTTTGTATAAGGACACTAACCCCATTCATGAAGGTTCCACTATCACGAATTTATTACCCCTGTTGGTCCCCATCTCTTATTATTACATAAGCAATAAAAATTCAACATATAAATTTTGATATTTTGATATTTAGACCATAGCAATGTGCATGCGAAATATAAAAAGCATATGTATGCATCCATTGTTCATCTGAAAGTCTTTTTCAGAAAAAAAACACTTGTCACAATTATAAAARCTTTTAAATATTAAGGGTATTCATCACTACGTGAGACAGATGAGTAAGTACTAAGAACTTACTTAGTATAAGTTTTACCATATGGAAAGGTAATATATTTTCTGCGCAAGAATCCTAAAGTTTGTTTTGATCATTATCAGATTAATGCAATTTTTTTTACCATTTTCAGATTCCCTAGGTTAGTGATGTGCAATGAAAATATAACACAAGTCACATATGTAATTTCATGTTTTTTATTAGTCAAATTGAAAAAATGTAAAGTTGAAATCAATACAATGTTTTATTAACTCAATAGATGAAAACCCAACATTTTACATTTATAACACATTTCATTACAGACTCTAAAATTTCAAAATACTAATTCTTGATTAGTATTTAGATTTCATAAAATTTACAGTAGAAAATAATATTTAAGGTGCTGGGCACACATCTGTTATCTCAGAAACTGAGAGGCTGAGGCAGGAGCATTACAAATTGCAGGCCAGCCTGGGCAACTTAGTCAATTCCTAATTCAAAAAAGTAAAACAAAATGGGCTGGGGATATGGCTTAGTGGTAGACAACTTGCCTAGTATGGGCAAGGCCTGGAGTTCAATTCCCAGTAATGAGGGAGGAGGAAGTAGATTCACATACCCTAGTTGTTCCAACCACAAAATTATTTCCAATAACTAAATTGTGTCAGTTTACAAGTTTACTAAAATTAAATACTTGGTTACTCTGCCACACTAGCCACATTTAAAGATAGTTAAAGATAGGTATACCATTGGAAGGCATAGGTATAGCTCCAGTGGGTTTTACTGTTTTGAACAGCTTGAATTAAGTTTCAAGAGAAAATATTTTCTTTTACAGGCTGTAGCAGTGAATTTTGAAATAGATGAGAATGCACACACACACACACACACACACACACACACACACACACACCTCAGTTTCTCCAGAGATGTCAAATCTTACACTATATATCTAGGTATTTTATCACCTTGTAGAACACTTTCATCACCTCAATAGTCACCTTACTTTCTTCGTGCACTTTTTAATATATATCTATGCATATATACATATTTGAGTTTGTGAGAGGCTGCACTGAATACCATGCTGTATACAATAAGGGGTGAAACTGGATGCTTGTTCTCAGATGCGTGTAACTTATAAACTTCTTGTAATACTGTCTAAGGAGGTTTTTCTGTTTTAATTATGAACGTAGAGTGAATCAGTTGACATCCTAATCTCTTTCTGCTGTTCTCTTAAGTTGCAAGAATTTCAAGGATACTTTGGTACTATAACAATTTCATTTAAGTAATATGTAGTGACAGGTGCAGGAACTGTTATGTAATAGAGTATCGTTCTTATATATCATGCATGTATGGGGAAAAAACTGATAGCAATATAAATAATATTCTATACTAAGTACCTTACTTAATCCCTCAGTCATAAACAGTAAAAAAAAAAATCATCTAAAACAAAAAAAAATCTTAAGCTCAACTTCAGGTTTCCAGGATTCCATGGAAACAAATTTTAAAGAGGGGTTCCTTTAGTTTGSTCAATTGAAGGAGCTTGCGGCTGTATGAGCCCCCGTTCTGCAAACAACGTTTAAGATGTTTCAAATACATCTTAAAAACACACGGACGGATGCACAGCTCGGCAACCCACAGATTTCCACTTTCCACGCACGCAAGGCTAACGCACGATTTCCCACGAATTTTGTCCAAGACCAAAAGCGCAGGTGCGCTCACTGTAGAAAATTTTAAAAATCCAATAAATTCAACTTTGACGGGCATCCCAGGCGTYCATCCCCCAGCGTGCCGGCCCGCACCGTCGGCACAGGGAGCGCCCCCTAGCCGGGTTCCCACGCTTTCGTAAACTGCCGCAGGGCAAATTAACCCGGAGCATGCCCGGAGCATGCCACCGCGCTTGCGCCGTGGAATGCGCATGCGTCGCAGTGCCGCGCATGCTCTGAGGCAGAGGCCTGGGAGAGCTCGGAGGGTAACGGAGCTGAAGCGCCCCGCCTCCGGTGTGAGTGCGGAGCTTTTCTTCCGCACCGCGTCGGCTTGTTTTTTTCCCCCGGCAGACCACTGGTCGTTACCTGCGTTGTCTTCTCTCCCCTGCACGCTGAGCTGCTGCAGCCCACCATGGCGAGCGTGGCGGGCCTGGGGAGCCGGGCGGCGCTGGGTCTCTGCGCCACAGGTAACAAGTGCACTGAGGCCAGGCGCGCGGCCAGGCTGGGCCTGGCGGGCCGGGGTCGCCGCGGGGGCCGACACTGCGGGTGTCTTCCGGGGCTTTGGCACTGGCGTTCTGGAGACTTGGCGCCGGGGGTTGGGAAGATGCGGCTGCTGCTCCTTGGCTTYTTACCGCAGGGGCAGCGCTGACTCGGTTGGTGGGCGATGGGAATGCCGGTGTTCCTGCAGACCTTGCCTGGGCTCGAGGGTCTGCCTTGTCACCTTCCAGGGTGTTTACCACCGGGGTGGGAGAGAGGGCCCAGGACTGACCGTGGTCCGATCGCCAGGATGGTGCGCTGTGAGACGTGACCTGATGGTGTTGGTGAGCCTTTCCCCGGGCGCCCTGGCTCTCGTGGCTCGATGATTCGGCCACCATTAGAACCTGCGATGTGCCAGCCTCCATTCTGTGGGCAATGAGTATCAGAGGGGTAGCTCGGCTTTGGTTTCTTCTCTCTCTCCTTTTTTTAAAAATAGTATTTTCAGTAACATTTGGAGTTTTTAATGAAGAGAGGTGATTGCTTGCAAAAAAGAAAAAAAAAATAAGAGAAGCGAGTTTTGTCTACATCCAGAAGGTAGTGGAAAAAAAAAAAAAAAACATACGTAGAAAATGGCACCATGTCATAGGTGGATTAGCCTACATAGCATTTGCTAGTTGCAGGATGATTGCACGCAGAGTAAATGTTTGTTAAATGGATGTAATTCATTTGCATCACTGTAATTCTTCTGCATCACTCAATCCTTGGAATGAATCATTGATCCATGGTAGACCTTAACAAAGAATCAAAATATTTTATAGGTGACTAAACATATGGTAAGAGGCAAATGATAAATCATTGAATTTTGTCTTCTCTTTTTGTTTTGCAGTTATTTTGCTCGATATGGCTTTTTGTAAAAGTGTTGTACAAGATTTAGATGACTCGTGAGTATATATATATTTAAACTGTTATTTTAAGTTTAAAAACTTGAGCTTTTATCTAAATAGTTGCATGTGAATCTTTTCTTTTAATGATAGGGGCAGTAATGACCAGTGTTTATATGTTGCTACTTTTTTTTTCAGGAATTGTTCTAAATACTATATATGTACCCCAAATATTTTTACTAATAGTTAAAAGATCAGAAAACTGGCAAACATCATTTTACCTTGTATTTATTTCTTTGTGCTCTAATCATATAGTGTGGGTACTGGAATTTACTTTCTCCCTTTGGGGGGAGGGGTGTACTGGAGATTGAACTCAGGGACACTGGACCACATCCCCAGCCTTATTTTTTATTTTATTTAGAGACAGGGTCTCACTGAGTTGCTTAGATCCTCGATTTTGTTTAGGCTGGCTTTGAACTCACAATTCTCCTGCTTCAGCCACCTGAGCCTGGAGGTACAGGCATGCACCACCATGCTTAGTGTTTATTTTCATAGTATCAGCCTTAATCACAAGGCCTTGCTTATAGTGGGTGAGCTGTCTAGCTCCAAATAAAAATCCTATGTGTGATTTGGCTTGAGTGAAGGTGACAACAATGCYTTTCCTGCCAAGCCACAGGGGGAAGGTGCCCTCCCCACACCAAATTTAGTTGCACAGTTTATTGCAGTCTCTGGAGGGTCTTGTAATCAAGGATTCAGACCTCCTGGGCCAACCATGTTCATATGTATATGTATGCTCCTAGCCCAGTTCTATGTGGAGACCTCTTTATTTGGAGCTTCATCTGAGGCATTTCTCAGACACTTATGCCAAGACCTCCTCATCAATAGTCACTCATAAAGAGGCAGAACCCTTTTGTTCAGCTCTTCTCAGCAGTGAGATGAATTTCCCTGTCTGCTGCATCAACCTGATTTTCTGTTAGTGCTCTTTCATGTATTAAAATGGTACACTGAGGAGCTGGCACCTCTTATGTCTCTTGGCTCACATTGTGAAAGTAAGTGAATAAAGGCTTGATTATTACTTCCAGTCTAGCTGATTGTCCTAATTTACCTTCTGAAAACCTGATTGCATGACAGAATCAGTGTGGTGTTCAGGCTGATCAGTTGAGCACAATGTTGTTACAGAAGAGCAAAACCTAAGATCCTATGTGTACCAGGCATGCTGATGGATCTTGGGAGTATTTGCAGATTGCTTATAGAAACTTTCTGGTGCTGAGGAAAACAATTAGGTACAAAGAAGTAACCTTATTGAATTTAGTGATACCCAATGGGGTGTGTCATTGCAGTTTTCAGTTTACCCTGGCAGTGCTGACTRCCTGAGGAGGAAGGAAGAGTTGTGCTCCTGCTGATCATTCCATTAGCTGTGTAGATGCTTACTGGAAAGGCCCCTACACTGGGGAACATTTCCAAGAGCATAACATGCTTATGAGATAAATGTGGAAACTGGTTCCTCACAGTAGAGTAAGCACATGTGCCATCAGTTGTTTCCTGGATCCGTAAGACAGGGGCCATGAAAAKTCTGGTAAGATTCTGGACCAAGCATTGAATGCCATTATTTTGAGAAGGCACCAAAACAGCATTGAAAAGGTGTTCCACTTGTCTCACCATGATCAAAGCTAAAAGTACTTCCCCAGGGACAGATTCCTCAAGCTCATGGGTGAGGGTATTCTTACCAAATAGAGAACACTGGACCCCTTATTCCATTAATAGTGCTCTGGATCCCAACTGGAATTGATGCTTCTCTGGATTTGCCTTAGCCATCCACATTCGTTCCACTGGCTTGAGCCACACTGTAAAGACCCTGACATGACCACATTTGCTTCTTGTTCACATTCTCTCAAGATTACTGTATCTGATGGCTCAGCCTATACWTTGGTGGGACAGATCTTGGGCATACAGTGCACTCTCTATGCTCCAGATCACTCCAATTCATAGGGATGGTTGAACATTTTAATGGACAGCTGATGACAATGTACAACTTTACCCCCGCCTGGACTACACATTTACTGAGTTATTTCAGTGCAGTATCAATTGGGTACTTTTCTCAAACATTAAAACTGAGCCATCAGGAAATGATGGGAACCCTCCTAGAATCCAACCTCTCAGATTAAAAACAACAGATTGAAAACCACCAGTTTGTAAACAGGATTTTCCAAGCATAGCAAACTTAGGCTTTGCTATATTAACTTTTCTCTAGAGGTATAAAATGTAATAAAAGGGTGAAGAACTTAGGTATACAGTGTCATCCCTTGGTATCCATGGGGATAGGTTCTACAACTCCTTGTAGATATGAAAATCTGGATGCTTAGGGACCTTATATAAGTGGTACGGTGCTCTGTGCACATCCACCTGTATAGTTTATATCATCTAAATTATATATAGTATTTAATGTAAATGTCATATAAGTAGTTATTATTTTCTGTTGTCTAGGGTATAATTTCAAGAGAAGAAAACCTTGCAAGCAGCACTCTGTCAGATGATCAAAACTGTCTGAAACAATTTGAGCTTGCTATAGCAAGAACTCAGGGGTACTCAACTACTATTCTGGCATTAGGGTTCTCTCTTCCATCAGACAAACCGTTCTGTAGACTTAAGAGTGTTTAAAAAAAAAAGAAAGAAAGTTAAAGCGAAGAAAACCTGCACATGTTCATTACAGAATTGGAGAGGCAGTTTTCTATCCTGCATCCCACCAAGTATTTTCAGGTCTTAGTTAGTGATCCACAGATGAGGAAAACCAATTACATTTGTATTTCTCCCAGAAAAACCTTAGTTCCACTTTTTTTGTTGTTGTTGAATTCTTTATTCCTCTTCTTTGAGTGGTTCTTTTTAAAAAATCAAAGGATAGGATAAGATGTGGAGGTCACTGAGGAAAAAATTTACACACATTTAAATGTTGAAAGAATTTGTTTCATGTTTCTATATTTATCAATTTATTATCCCTACCCTTATGATACATTTGTAAAGTGAACASAAACATAAAAATCAGAGATCTGCTTTTGTTTTTAGGTTTAAAGAAAATCGAAAAGATGACATTTGGCTTATAGATGTGAGTATGTAAATTTTATGTTAATTACCTGCCCCTACCATTTTAAAGACTCTTTTTTATTCTCTTTCACCCAAAGAAGGCAATATATAGTTAGTACTTATRTATCTTCTTAATTTGTTTTTGCAGATAGTATTGTTTTGGTTTTTCTGTTAAAATGAACSTTAGAGCTTTAAGGTTTAAGGGACTTATTTTATTGAAATTTTGGGGGTGAGAGTATTAAGATGGGAAGCTAGTACCCTATCTTATAATGCGGTAAATTTATAGATTATGTCTTTAGGAGATTATGATATGATTTTATTACAGAATGCACTCATTTCTTCTTGTTTTCCAAGATATTGAATATATTAATATCATTTAGTCACAGTCATACTTTCATCCTTTTTGTTTTTTGGATTCTGGGGATTAAACTCAGGGGTACTCAACTACTGAGCCACATCCCCAGCCCTATTTTGTATTTTATTTCGAGACAGGATCTCACTGAGTTGCTTAGTGCCTTGCTTTGCCTGGGGCTGATTTTGAACTTGGAATTCTGCCTCAGTCTCCTGAGATGCTGGGATTACAGGTGTACGCCACCATGCTCAGCCGTACTTTGATCTTAATAGTGAACAAAATTAAAATTTAGCATCCTTTCCTCACTTTCTAGTTTGGAATAAATTTTAACCTCGTGACATAGAAGATTTGTTTTAACATTGCCTCAGCAAAAGTAGAGTAGCCGCAAAAGAAATGAAATAAAGATGGTAGAGTTGGGGATTATTGAAGCTATGTGATGGGATATGAGAGTCCACTGTTCAGTTTTTGTCCTTTTGTATATTTTAACATTCCCATGGTAAAACTTTAAAAAGAAATATTACTTTATGAAAATGCAATAAGCAGTTTGTTAGCTTGGGTTCTAAGTATTACCCCCACCATTTGCTGATTCTGGTCTGTGATTTTAGTTTTATCAGTTAGATTTGTCACAACTGCTACTACTGCTGTGTGACACAGGGAAGTTTTCTTAAGGCTTCTAAGCTTTGAATTCCAATGCTAAGCCAATTGTCTTAATGGTCTCCTGTATCTTGCCAGTAGATAAAATAAACTCAGCAAAGGCACTCACTTTGTTGGGATTTTTGTAATAAAAATAGATTGTTTGTCATTAACATTTGGATGTGTACATGGTATGACATATGCATTTTTATTTACTGGTTTCTTTCTTTTTTTTTTTTTTTGAAGAACATGGATACATTCACTTGGAAGCAAAGACATTTTATTAAAATTCATATATCTGTTTTAAATAGGTATCAATAATCTATTAAAATGAACTTAAGTTAGTATTATATTTGAGGTATGACTTAGGAGTTAGCCTATCTAGATTTCTGTGTGTGTTTTATATTTTGCTGCATAACCATTTAGGAAATATATTTAAACATTTAGTTCCAAATAGATTATTAGCAATTATCTAATCAAAGAGATTCTTTAAATATTAAGTTTGATAGTTACAGTAGTACAACATTTTTAGTGATTTTTTTTTCCCCCTTTGGGTAGTTTTATGCACCATGGTGTGGCCATTGTAAAAAACTGGAACCAATTTGGAATGAAGTTGGCCTTGAGATGAAAAGCATTGGTTCTCCAGTTAAAGTTGGAAAGATGGATGCTACTTCCTATTCTAGTAAGTCTTGATGTAGTTTATTATTTTACTTTTCTCATATAAAGAAAATGTTTTAATTATATGCAGCAGTATTCAAGGTGGAAGAAAACATAATTTTCTGCTCTTGTAAAATTATCTTAGTTTAAGACTATACTTTATAAATTAAATGAATTAGCCATTGAGTAGTTACTATACAACCTGTGATAGTCTTAGGCCTAACATAAACGTACAAGCCATTGTGTATTCGTATTCGAACCCAACTTAGGTACTTAGTTTACATGAGGCAACTATAGAAAGTTGAATGTTTCATTGWTGATATAAGTGAATGATAGTTTATTGTCTGAGTAGATAGATGGTATGGTAGAGAAGTACATAAGAACTTAAAGATGAATTAGGATGAATATGAGAATCAGGAAGGTATTCGTGCTGAAAAGAATATAAGAACAAAAATCAGAACTGAAAATKAGTTTAATGAGTATGTACACAAAATAAAATGAAGTAGAACAGATCTGTCCTCCTGTTTGTTTTGTAAATAGAATTATTGGAACATGGCTACACTTTTTTATTTACAGTTGTTTAGACAGTGTTGATGCACCAGTGTCAAAATTCAGTAGATATGATGAAAACTACATGTTCCCCAAAACCTAAAATATTTATTATCTAATCCATTATAGAAAAAAGTGCTCTCTTAAAGGATTTAGGCAAAGAAAAAATTGAGTTTAGAGAAGTATGAATTATCATGGAAATTTAAAAAGAGCATGACTCTAGAAGTAAGCCTGGCTTTGCCTGCTACTACTGCTGTGTGACCACAGGGAAGGTTTCTTAAGGCTTCTAAGCTTTGAATTCCATATTGGTACATAATTAATTGTAATGCAGCTTTTATTGGTTATTCTGAAGCTTGAATGATGTTGTGTTTGCAAAATCCATTGTATGTTATAAATATATATTTCCTTTTCTTTTAGCTGAAAAAGAATGTTGAACTGTGTAATATGTATTTCTTTTTAGGAAATCAACTGCACATTTTGGATCATACCTATGTTTTAATTTCAAGTTTCTCATGTTCTACTTTTGTGGTTTCGGGAAAATACTTAAAATACTTAGTTTCCATGTCTGTAAGGGACAGTGATATTTTCAAGGTTGTGAAGATTTTATTACTGTTTTATGTTCAGAACCCCCTATTGCAATAGCATATATACAGTGGTAAAGGATGATTTCAGATTGTTAGAACCTTCCAGGGCAGAATGTTTTGCATTTTATTAGTTGTCCTTAAGGAAGTTATACACATTTTTGAGAAGACAAATTATTTGATAGAATTTTTTTGGCAGCAACTTGTAAATGAAAAAGAAGAGCAGGTGGAGACAAGAAAATCACGTGAGTGAATTTTTTTATGTGTCCTGGTGTGGGTCACTAGGAGCTTAGGCCAGGGTAGAAGCAGTAAAGTGAAGAAGGAATTCTTATATCATGTTCAAGGCTGAAGTAGCAGATGAGATAGTTTGACAGTGCTTCATTATATTCACTCACCTGTAATACTACTGTCATGTGGAAAAGAATGAAAACTTTGATTTTGTGTGCATTTTCAACCTCAACTGAATTGGAGCCATTGCTTCATTCATGTTTCTGACTCGAGGAACTAGAGTTCATTTGCGTGCTTAGAGCTGGAGTTACTGATCACACATCAGTTTTTGCAACTTTGAAAAAAGACATTGTCAAAGGGAGAAAATAATATTCTTGAGTTGCTATTTCTTGAAATAAACTTTTAAATAAACTTTTAACTTCATGTGTAASTACTGAAGGAATCCCTTTATAAGGCATTCCTTCAGTAGTTACACATGAAATAGGTTCTTATGTCTTGATTAGAAATGTATACACATTGATCATAGATGCAGTCCTTCATTAGTTCACTCAATTATTATTTCTTAACTACTGTTTATAAACCACCAAGTCTCCAAAGATTAAAGAAAGACTCAAACACATCCTGCSTGTTTTGGAAATGCTTATAATACAGCCTTATAGAGGTAGAAAGATAAACAAAGCAGTAAGTGTAAAAAAGTCATAAAAACTGTAAATTCTTATGATCACATGAATCATTGAGTGGAGTAATAATGTATAAAGCAAAGTGGAAATATAAAAAAAATAGTCATTGACAAAGTAGTTCATATAAGTTAGTAAAAATTTTTATGGTAAACTGGTCATGTGATGTTTCAGTGATAGTTAACAATTTACATTGTCACAATTCATTATAATATCTAATTCATCAATGTACTATTTATTAAGTGTTTCTGTGTGCCATTATTACATTGGAACTCTGATTAGGGGCAAAATAGATATTCAAGGGCTGGGTATGTAGCTCAATGTTATAGCACTTGCCTAGTATGCAAAAGGTCCTAGTTTTCATCCCTAGCACTACAAAAAAAAAAAAAAAAAAAAAAAAAAAGCCCATGCATTTCTCCTGAGTAACTTAGAGAAGTATTTTAAATGCTGCGATTAAAAATCAGTATTTTTTTCTGCATCTTCAGAATATAATGTGTATATAAGTCAAGAGTATCCACACACAAACACACTGTATACATATATATACTATATGTTGTTTTTGAATTTTAATTTAAAAATGGGACTGGGACTTTTTTTGTTTTTCATAAACCAGAGATTTGGTTTTTGCCTATAATTTCATGAGTGTTGCAGATTTTATTCCTTATGTCTTGATTAGAAATCATCTTCACATCATATTACATGTTATATTGGATTAATGGGGAGGAAAATCCACTATAGAGATTGCTTTGAAGGAAATATACATACAACACATTATCTCACACAAGCCACCTAGCTTTGGGAAAAAGGAAAAGAGGAACTGATATATACTGAGGCCACTATCTGCCAGGTTTTGGGATAGGTGTTTTTTATATACCACCCCAGCTTGCACCTCAACCTACATAATGATGTGTTCTTGTGAATACTTGTGGCTCATTGAATAATTGAAACATGGTTTATTCAAAAAAGTCATTCCTTTGTAAGAAAGTTACTGAGTCACATTCATTAAATACCACGTATTTGGGGCAAGACAGGAACATTYTAGGTGTTGGTAATTTGTTAGTGAGCAAAATGAACAAAAATTTCTGCTCTTGTAGAGCTTGCATTTTTATGGAGAGAGACAAAAATAATCAATATAAACATGAGTGAATATTCAGTATTTCATGTTAGTCATGGATGCTTTTTCCTGTTGTAGACAGAAAGAAATTTTATCTTCCTAGTATTTAAAAAAAGTTGATAAATATTCAGAACCACTGTGGAGACATTACAAATACATTTTTGGCTTATACTTTCCAATGTTTCTTTAAATACTCTAAGGCAGTTCAAATTTAGGCATTTTGGTGGAATTTAGAGTTAAATAGACAAAGAAATTGAATCTGTTGGGATTATTCTATCTTAACTATAGAATGTTAATGATTTGGCTATTTTACTAATACCTCTTCCATCCGCACAACCCACTTCTGTTTCTCGGCCTGTAGTCTGTAGACTTATGACATGCATTAGGATGACATGGGAATTCATTGTCAGTTCAGGATCCTGAGGCCTACACCACTGTACCAAATGGAAATCTTTCAGATTTGGTCAAGAAAGTATATTTTGAACATGTACTTCAAGTGATTTTGCTGCACACGTAAGTTGAAGAACCACAAAGAAGAATATTAATTTGATTAATAGATAGTTACAGGACTTTGTTTCAGAGTGAGGTAGGATTATTCAAAGTGATCATGTGCAGCAAAAGTCTCTAAGATTCTTTGATGATATCTTATTTCTTATTCATCTCTTTGTAGTGGTTGAAAGCAAATGCCATCAAACTCAATCCAACATATCTGTTTGTAGAASTTTTGAAGTGGAGAAATTTGAACTGTATGTTTATTCAGTTCTCTGTGTTTAGAATTGTACCAGAAACTTCTTGATGCATGGTTTTGTTTTYTTTTTTTTGGTACTAGGGGTTGAACCTAAGGTTGCTTTACTATTAAGCTACAACCCCAGTCCTCTTTACTTTTTATTTTTGAGACAGAGTCTTTCTAAGTTGCTGAGGGTCTCCCTGAGTTGCTGAAGCTGGATTCAGACTTGTGATCCACCTGCTTCAGCCTCCCTAGTTGCTGGGATCCCAGGTGTATACTACTATATTAATCCCTTCATGCACAGTAACTAATATCAAATTTAATAAAAAAGCTGTATGTGATCACTGTAAATTCAGATACATATTTTAGCCTTTCTTTTTTGTATGTATTCCTTCAAGAATAAATATTGGAAGTTTCTCATTYGGTAGTTAAATTGTGATATTGTGCGCCCTGTAGTGGGATGCTGATTTTATGTGGAACCAATGGAATTATGTTTAGTCTCTAGATATGGTTGTATGAAAAAGATCATAGTTTACCTCTCTTGATGCCTAAACATGCAGTGGTGTTTGAACAATAAAATTCTTACTCTGACTTCATGTTTACAGATTATATTTATAAATTAATTTTACTTTCTAGATTGTAAGCTCTGTTTGATCAGTGATTACATTTCAAGTTTTCTAACCTTGTATTATCAACATTTGGGGCCAGATAATTCTGGGGTCTGTTTTTGGGGGGAGGGGTCCAGAGGTTCTGTGCATTGTAGGAATTTTTTTTTTAGCATTGTTTCTTGCCTCTACCCACTAGATRCTAGTATACCACCTCCTCACTGCCCACTGGCATCACCACATTGTGTCAATGAAAAATGTCTCCATTTGATTGACAATCACTATTGTCTTTTATGTCCTTTTCATGTTGGATATATAGTGATACTTAGAGAGTACTAAGACAGATAGTATTTTTCAGCTGAAATAGAGATTGAGAGTTTGAGGCTAACTCCTCACTACATCCTCCCACCTCCAGTTTATAGGTTAAGTAGCATGGTAACTAAGTGGCATGAGAATAATTATACATACCAGAATTTGAGATAGAATTATGCCCAGAATTCAAGATTACCATGATTCATATCTTTACCTGTCTCTGCCATCAAATTATTATAATTTCAAGAAGCCAGGAATAAAAGATTGCTTCATATTTAATCTCATTTTAGAAATATTTAAAAATATTTAAAATTATACAACTTCAGAGGAAGTTATTCATTTTATAAACAGGATCTTCTGTTTCTAAAGAAATCAATATTATTATTCTTTAATATAAAATGTAGAGAATGAAAACTTAGACCGAGTCTCAATTGCAACCTTGCTTCCTAATTTGTTGTTTTCAAACAAGTTACCACATTTTCAAAAGTTTTCTTTAATTTGAATTTGCAGTATTTTTTCCCTCCAAACAAAAATGTTTCAAAGTTCAGTGGAAGGATATTAAAACCTGTTAAAATTTGTACATATTAGTATTATAATATTATTTACACGTTGATGTATCAGCAGATAGTTACTAACAGTGAGGTCAAGAACAAGAGTAGGAAGGAAATGGCTCTAACATTTAAGGATCATTTATGTGCCAGACTCTGTGTTAGACACTTTTCTACATATTTTCACATTTAAAAATTCTACCTGTAGTCCTGAAAGGTGAGTTGTATCTTAAGAAGTAGTATCTTCTGAAGCAGAATCAGAGAAGTTGAGTCATCCAGCATTGCACTCGATAATAAATGGAGCAGAATCTTAACCTGGGTCATTGTACGTCTGCAACCTAGCCTTTGCTTGTGTGCTTTTTATTATGTTGTCATTCCCCTCTAGGGGAAGCTAAGGACAGTCATTGTCAATTGAAATTCTATCAGACGTGAAGATCAAGGAGGCAAGGGGCTTTTAGGATAGGTGATATGAAAACTTCTAGATATGAAAACTGAGGTCAAAGAGATTGATAGAGTTCAGTGTGGAGCAAGGATTTTTGCTCTGAAACCTGTTAAAGAGATTCACCTCATGCTGTGAGATACCATCACTATTTTGGCAGTGTGTACTTTGTTTTCTTTATTGGATTTGTACATAAATAACTTAAAACAATTTGTGTGGATTGATTAATTAGTAGGATATAACTCCCTCCTCCAATCAGTTATATTCTCATGTTTTGGCAGATTTTAATCAATTTTTAGGTGAAGATGATATAGGCTTATATTTATTTGCCTCCGTAATTTGGGAAGGACAGGGTTTACTCATGTAATCTCTCCCAAATCAGTGTTTTTGCCGTCTTGGTAGTCACAATCATATTTAGTTAGAATACACTTTACAGAATTAAGTTTTAAGTTAGAGATGGGCACAAATTGTGTAGTTGCTCAAAGTTCACGTGGATATTCAGAGACAGGACCTCCAAAACTTGAATTTTCATTAGCTTTGCTGTTTATGGTACCTCTTATGAACAYAGGTGGTGTTCATTGTCCAGACTGTTATGGTCACCTCCCTCCTTGTGCCTCGGGAAGAACTCTAAGGTGATAAGGGAAGGCAGAGAGATTGGGGTGTTATTTTGCTACAGATTTTCCTTGTTATTCTGAATTGGTGACATATAATAAGAAACTGGACATGAAGTGAGTGTTAACTGGAGCTCAGTGCTGAGAGCCATGGCCGAGCAGTTTCCTTCTYCCCAACTGCAGTACACATATACTTGCATATACTGGAAATAGAGGAGATGACAAAGGGAGAACTTTGGGGGTAAACATGGTACACTCTGCACAAACACTAGTATAGCTTTGCAAATGTTTTATATTGTGTAATGTCCACTGAGAATATTTATTCTCTCCTTGTTGCCCTGAGTATAGTATTAATTTGATGAATGTTTTTTATACTTCTGAAAGTCCTAATTCTCTATTGGCATTTACTTGGTTGTGTTTTTATTTCTTCTTTTGTCTCAAAAGATGCCATTGGAGCAAATCCTTCTCATTTTAATCACTTGTGAGGATTTCAGAATAATCATTTGAGTTTATTGGAATTATTCTAGGTTATTACAGAAGCAGAAACTTACAAAATATAAACTTGCGTTTCAATCATATATTTACTGCAGTTAATTACAATTAGTGGTTTTAAATTAAATGTAGTAAACAATAAAGGAAGAGATGGGTCTTTTTTTTTTTTTTTCTAGAAAAATGAGTTAGATCTAGGAAGAAATGCTTGTCCTGGAAATAAAGTCAAAAGAAAAGTACCTGAGTACTTTAAAATATTAATAATAATAATAACCAGAATGTCTTTTAGAATGATTACTCTGGAGATAAATTTTGAACTATTCTTTTGGCATTTTTTATTTTATCAGAATATTTATTTCCTGCCATGGATTGGATTGTTAAGTAATTGATTTCAATGAGAATGTCATGTTTTTTTATTTTTCTATGTGAGTTTCTTTTTAGCAATCAATTGCAACATATCTGCAAGGGCTTATATAAATATATATATATATATATTTTAAGTAAAAGACTCATTGTTATCTAGTTTCTTAAATAAAATATTTAGAATTATTTATTCTTTTTCTTATTAAGGCCTTGCTTCAGAGTTTGGAGTTCGAGGTTATCCAACAATTAAGCTGTAAGTTAAGTGTTGTATGTTTATATGTGTATCTTTTATTAGTTCACTCTGCTTACGTTTTAGTACGTTCATTTCTAGTAAAATTTCACTGGCGGATTGAGGATTGGGTTCAGCTGCCTTTTTTTTAAGATAAAATTTGTATTCAAAGGAGAGGAATGCTCTTCATTTTTAAGTCAATACATTGTTTATGGCTGATTCAATAAGTGTGTTTTGAGTGCTTTCTGTGTGACATGTCCTGGGCAAGACATGATTATACAGTCATAAATTATGAAATGTCTCTTATTCTTGAGATGCTCAAGTATGTATTCTGCTTTCTCTCTGTAAATCCTGTCTCCTAACAGATTTAATGATTGTATGATCAAATTTACTTCATTAGGGATAAAAGACATGAAGGGAATCAAAATTGATGGTCATTAAGTTTAATTTGTAGGTAATTGATCAAGTCTAACAGAGTGTACAAATTGGAAGAAATGGTGTGATAATTCTAAAGAACTTTTATTTAATTTCTCAGGATATTCATTGCCCTTATGTTGGTAATGTGGATAGGTGAGGAATTGTTTTAAAAGTTATTTTTATAATGAAAGTTTTTTTTCAGTATTTTAAAATCTCAAATATCAAAATTTGAGTAACTTAAATTCATTATATATTTGGTATTGTGTTGATTTCTTTCTTTCACCTTTTCAAAATGTTTGCTAAGCCTCTTTTACTTTTTGAGTTTAATTTTCCTTTCTTTTGTGTTTAATTATAGGTGTTCTGTTATACTTCCTAATTTTCTTTTTGGTAATTTCTGTTAATTAGACACACATCAGCAGGCTTTTGAAGAATTATCTAAATTTTTAGAAAAATAATTGTATATAATTTTTATGGTAGATATTAGAGCATATAAATAACTATGATATTTGTTGTTTAAATTTGAATGGCTTTACTAAAATACTCTTAATTTCCTCCTTTTGACAGATAAGATAGAATCATAGTGCTTTGAAGCTCTTGACCATGAATATGTAGATTACTCACTTTTCATAAGGCATAGGCTCAGTGTAATACAGAGTCAAATATTTTGTATAATTTATTAGAATGCAGCCTTTTCCTATATATTTTGAGTTGCTGATCCTCTGAAGCCAGTTGCCTGCTATATTTTACATAACTATACTACTTGTAAAAGTCTTCTGCAATTACTATTTCATGTACTTTAAGTTTATGCTATAATAGTTATTAACATTAACTATTAAAATTTAAAATAATTCATGTTTTTTATTTTTTTACTTAAGATTAAAGGGGAACTTGGCATATAATTACAGAGGACCACGTACAAAAGATGATATTATTGAATTTGCTCACAGAGTATCTGGGTAAGTTCTTATCAGGAAAAACCTGTATTTAACACTAACAAATTCCTTTGTGTATAGAAGAAATTTTCTAAAGTGAATTTTAATATATTTTCAAACTTTGCATTACTTACCAGGCAGTCCTCCCTCATTCATGGGTGGTACATCCCAGAACCCCCAGCAAATTCTTGAAACTGTATGTAGTACCACACCCTGTATATGCTGTGTTTTTTCTAACATATCCTTACCTGTGATAAAGTTTAATTTATAAAATAAGCACAGCAAAAGATTAAATCAAACAGCAATTCTAGAAATATACTGTAATGATGGTTATGTGAATGTAGTGTCTTCTTTTTGTCAATATCTTATTCTACTTTTACCTTTTCACTTAAAGCAAATTCTATAGGCTTATCTCTGGTATCCAAATTTCCAGCATCACTACACTTGCACATTGAAGCCATTATCAAGTAAATTAAGAATTATTTGAACACAATCACTGTGGTACTTTCACAGTCCATCTGACAATGAAAAGGGCCGCTAAGTGACTAATATGCAAGTAGTCTATAYAGTATCCACATGCTGGAAAAAGGGATAACTCACACCCTAGACRGGGTGAAGTGGGATGGTGTGAGATTTCACCACACTAATTAGAATGGTGCACAACTCAAAATTGTTTATGCTGAAATTTTCTTACAACCTAATTATTGATTTGAAAGTGATATTTTTTTTAAAAAAAATCTATCTTGCTTAGGAATAATAATTTAATGTGATTGTCTATGGTTGTAATTATTTAATGTGATTATGTGGAACCTCTTGAAGAGAACATTTATCAAGCTAGGTTAATAAACATTGACTTTAAAGCATTTGAGCTTGACTGGATATATTGATATTCCTAATAGCTTTATTAGAATAAGATTGATTTTATTATGATATTTTATTATGATAACTGTCTCAAATTATTTGAGAAAATTCACAAAATTTGAATATTTTTATAGAAGTTTAGGATGCTTTCTGGTGTATTTATTGATTGATTGCATGTTTTATTTCCTTTCTTTGCTTTGTAAATAAATTTTGAAATAACTTTTATATGAAGGGAATGTTTTGAGGAATGGGCTTTACTCCCCCATGACTTATTAGTCTACAGGTTTTGACGGTTTTTAATGCTTTTTGGTTTAAGCTTAAGAATGGCTTCTGATGTAACTTGGGTTGACTTTCTTGCAACTGAAATTTCAGGAGTCAGTTCTGGAGTTGCATCACTTGCTAGTTAATTACTGAGCATTAGAATAGAGGTTGAGGGAAAGTGATGCAATGAATCTCAAGAATTGTGCATTTTGAAAATGTTTCCTTTTGCAAAGTGTTTTCTGTTCCTTTTATGAATTTTGTGGGGTGAAAGTCTGACAATATATACCATTTTAAAAAGATAATTCTTCTTTTAGTTATTTAATTACATTTATAGGTGATACGTTTTATAATAATTTTGATGTAATTCATTTCTGTTTGCTTTTGAAAAATACTAACAAAGCTGTAGAGTTCTGTTTTCTATCTACAAGGTTTTTATGCACTATAATGCATACTAGTTTATTTTTTCTGAAAATAAGTAATAATCTGTTCTGGGAACTTGTCAGGTTTTAACCTCTGTAGATTACTTAGAAACTAACATTTAAATTGACAGAATATTATATAAATATTTTTAAATGCCGTATACTCCTGGGATGGTATTTCACAGTATGTTTTGTGAATGTTCTTTTAAAAGGGGAAAAACATTCTCATGTGAATTGTTTTGTTTTTAACCAAGGGCTGTAAATAGATGATAATTCTGTTTTTGCCTATCAAAATGTTGGCAGTGGTGATATTCTCTGAAGAGATATATTTGAAACTTGTTTTCCAATTGGTAGGTTAAATTGTAGGTGTATATATATTGTCAATATGTGGAAATAATCATAGTCATGGGTTGAAGCTTTATTTGCTTTATGGATYTGGGGATAATGAATTAATATATTATTAAAGCTTTTTAACTGTAGACATGACCAGCCCTCATAAGTAGGAGTAGAGTAAATTATGTACTATCTTTAGTTCATACTTGTTTTGTTTTCACACAGAGCTCTAATTCGGCCACTACCAAGTCAGCAGATGTTTGAACATGTGCAGAAGAGACATCGTGTATTTTTTGTTTATATAGGTGGAGAATCACCTTTGAAAGTATGAAATTATTTCTTGATCTATAAAAACATACGATTATAATTAAATTTGCTTAATAGTTAAGTCTTAGTCAGAGCCTCAAAATTTACTCCGTTTTTACAGGAAATCTTTCAGTTCAATCTTAAGTATTTTTTGTAATAAAAACATTTTCTTGGATACCTTCTGTGGTGTTTGCTGCTCTCAACAGAAGTTGGTAACATCGGTAGATGCCACTTGCCTTAGTGTTTCTTTCATTACTGACCTGGTTATTTAAAATTAACATTGCTTTTTAGCATTGTACATCTTTAAGACTACAAATTGCAGTGTGAATATCAACTCTCTAAAGGCAAACGGCCGTTATTGTCTGAAGTTATTTTATGTGTATGTGTGCTCACACATATCTTCCTTATAATCATCACTGTCATTATTATACATTGTTAATCTAACTTAAATTAATATATTGAATCAAGTTTAAAATTAAATATCAAACAATCAAATATATTTGGAGGAGGATAAAAACACTTGGTTACAATTATCTTTTGCCCTAGAAACAACTCATTTCATTTGCTTGTATTTCATCTTTTCACTCAATGTGCTAGCAAATTGCAACACTACTACTTACTACATAAGGTAGCTCTGATTGTTTAATGAATAATAAATTTTCATCTTTTGATATTCTAAAAAGGCCTTTTTTTCCTCTTTATATTGTTACAGGAGAAATACATAGAAGCTGCTTCAGAATTGATTGTTTATTCATACTTCTTTTCTGCTTCAGAAGAGGTGGTTCCTGAGGTAACATTTAAAATTGTATTTTAATGACAGTTTTATTTTTTAATTTTACTTGATTTTATCTGATTTATTTATTGTGAGGCATAGAGTAAACATGTTTACTCTTTACTGCTGGTGACAGACTGCTTATTATTAATAAACAAATATCACCAGATTCATGAAACTTAGGAATTATTATTATAGTTTTTTTTCCTTTTTAAATAACAAAGCTGGTAACAAATGATATCTCACACTCTAAGGTTGTTCATAAGTAGTTGTTCATAAGTAATAGATTAACTTGGGTCTGTGCACATGCTTGTGTGTTATATATGAAGTCTACTGTTTGGATCCTAAGATAGCAGTTCTCAGTAAACAAATCTATAAACAGGATCTCATAAATTCTGTAAAACAAAAAAGCAGCAGTATGATAGTTGGGACATAGGGGGGTGAGATAGTTGCTGTAAATTGGTTAATTAAGAAATGTTTATATGAGAAAAAATAGGTAAAAAGGACTTAAGATGATGTGAAAGAGTCATGCAGAGATAATACAAATACCAAGATAAGAACATTCCCAGCATATCTGAGGAACCAAACAATAGTCCAAAGTGACTGTGGTGATGTGAAAGAGGAGATAGGAGTGAGCACTYACAGGTGATGAGGAACATGGTTGATGGAGAACATGGTTTGATACTCATTTTTTTTTAAATGTAGACTCTCTCTTTTTTAAAAGAAATATATATTTATATAAAASAGCAGAATGCATTCCACTCTTATTACATATATAGAGATCAATTTTTCATATCTTTGGTTGTATACATAGTATACTCACACCAGTTTGTGTACTCATATCTGTACTTTGGATAATAATGACCATCACATTCCACCATCATTAATTACATCATGCCCCCTCCCTTCCCCTCCCACCCCTCTACTCTGTCTGGAGTTCGTCTATTCCTCCCATGCTCCCCCTCCCTATCCCACTATGAATCAGCTCCCTTATATCAAAGAAAACATTCGGCCACCCTGAACGCGCCCAATCTCCTCTGATGCTCATTTTAAGGACATCTGTGCTAAATGCAGACTGAATTGTAAATTGGATACATAGGAAAGAAAATCCAGGGAGGTCAGTTGAACTTTTGTAGTAATCTCCAGAGTTTGGGCTTGGGGGTTAGTAAAGAACTGGGGGAAGTGAAAGGATTGGTGTGTTTAGGAGGTAGAATTGTCAGGGCTTGATGTGGAGGTAAAAGGGTGGACTTAAGGTGAGCCCTGAGTGTTTGGTTGGAACACCACAGTCAGTGGTGGTGGTATTTATGAGCTTGGGGAATGTTGGGAAGAATGGTTGGGAAGTAGAATAGTGATAAAGAACTTGAAATTTTCTTTTTAATTTCATTTGGCATAACTTGTTAGGCATCTGATTTCAAGTGTTATAACAGTTGGATATAGAGGTCTAGAGATAAGTCAAGGCTGCATGAATAAACTTCATAGACAGGGGATGGAATATTTTAAAGAAACAAGTAGTCCCAGAACCCAAAGACAGCAAAGAAAAATGAGTAGAAATAACCAATGAAGTACGAAAACAAAGGAGTAAGTAATTGTGTCACCTGCTTAGGAAGTAATCAAGGTGAGGAAGTAACCACAGTGTCCACCTGGATGTGGTTGTTTTTGAGAGGAGTAATGGGGACAGATATTATATGGTGTCATTTGAGAGATCAATGGCAGATAAGAACATGGAGACCACAGTATGAAAATTTTTGCTTTGCAGGGTACCTGAGAAATTTGACAGTAACAAGGGAAACATGAAGGATATCAAAGGAGCTTTTTTTTTTAAACTAGTATAAGTTATCAAAATGTTGAAATATTTTTATTTTCACAAAGGTAAGTCATATTATACTTGTAAATATTTTTAAAATGTCTTAATGTTTAAATATTTTGATGTAAGAAGATTACAGACTTACCTAGAAGCTATGTTTAATGTTTCCTGCAATGTATATGCAGGTGTTTATGCTATAAATATGTACTCTGATCTGATTTTCAACTCCTTAGAGTACCGCAGGCAGGTTTTGGTCAATCTAAACTCACTTTTAGTTTATGTAGTTAGGTGTAATTCAAGTTATTTTGCAACATATTCTTTGTTTATACTTTTACTTTTGGCAGACAGGGGAAGATGGAATGGAAAAAGGGCCAACTTTGCCATCAGATCTCAAGTGTCTCAAAAGGTTACGTTTACGTATGGAATGCCAATATGTGATATAAAGCCTAAAATGAACTTGAACTAGAACTTCTAATTGTTTGTTATCTCCTAAGTCCAGTGGAACATTCTTTTTAATATTAGAGTGTTTGTGGTGAATCCTTATCTATAGAGTCTTCTTAGCACTTTCTCTTAGACACCAGGGCTCTGAGTAGGCACAGATAGCATCTGCTACATGAGCACACTTGGTTATTATGTATTACGGTTGATGTTGTTATTAGCTCTGACAACTAGTTTCTTTAAGCAGTTTTAAATTATTCCTGGAAATATCAGTCTTTGTCATCTCTTAGTTCTGAGTATCTAGTTGGCAAAGAGTGCTTGGGGAAATAATGGTTATTGCAAAATATTATAAGGAGTTTTACTCCAGTAGAGAGAAATCTAAAAAGGGCTAAGTCCATGATTTTTATAGTTCATCCATATTTTGAATATTAGTGTTTTGCCAGAGTTTTATTACCTTTACAGTTAGGATTTATGAAAATTCTAGTTGGTGTTGTAGGAGGATAAGAGGGGTGAATTAAGATAGTTTCTGACTTCAGAATACTTAAATGTGTATGGAGAAGAGTGACATGTAGACAGATGACTGCAGTATAAGATAGTGAGTTTAAAGGAGCACAGGGGAGAAAAGTAGATTGAAGTATGTGATCCTGGATAGGTACAAGTCTTCAGACTACTTTAGTCGTGTTCTAGGACAAACCATTGTCTTTGAAAGAGAGACATGCTGAATGTTGAAAAATTATTTCATACATCTGTGTGGGTCAGTTGACAAGAGCAGGTAATGGGGCATGTGGATTATAGAGCCCCACCTAAGAGCTTTACCACTGCCTGTAAGTAGGTGTTTTTWAAATTTATTTATTTTTTCTGGTGCTATATCATTTTTTTAGTGGTAATGTAACCAAATCATTGTATCTTATCTTCTCCTTCCCTTTATTTGTAATTACTTTCATTTTGCCATGCTCATAATAATTCTCAGTGGCTTTATCTTCTGATCTCATTCTGATTCTCTACTATAATTTTATTCCTTTAAAATTAGTACCATGTAGGTATAAGAAGCARTTACTTCCTGAATGAATTCATTATTATTGAGACTGTTGTAAATTGCTTATAAAACACTTTATAGTTTAAACATGCTCTCATTCATTATCTAATAGAACTCATAAGTGCCCTGTGGGGGGAAGTGGTCTGAATGTCCTTATCTCACAGAGGAGGAGGCAGATTCCTCTAGAAAAAGTGTTTGGCTCATTATCACACAACTGGTGAGTGGCTGGGAAGATCAACCCAGATGGGCTGATTGGCACTGTGCCCTTGCTGTTCTGCTGAGTGCTGTGATTCCCATGATGGTACCTTTAGGTCTGTTCTCAGTTTTAAGAATAAATCCATTGCTTTCASCATTGTCAACTGGACAGTGTGCCAGTGTGTGTAAGGAAATTCAGACCCAATCTTTAGGTGAATCTTGGATTGATGCTACTTTTTTAACTTTGAAATGTTTTGATAACTAAATTCCTAACTTACCTTTCTCTTGGGAGGGCATGGTTTGTGTAAGCTTGTGCAATGCACACTTGGTGTCTTTCAATACTTGAAACCATAGCTATCAATTAAAATTTTTTAGTGATAAAAATTATTTACATTTCTGATGTTTTGCAGTATGTGACCCTAAAAGAGGTGCCCGCTGTGCTTGTTTTCAAAGATGAGAATTACTTTGTTTATGATGGTAAGTTCCAAAGTTTTAATCCATGCAGAACATTTTAAAATTATATGCTATATATTGTCTATTACAGGAGGTGTTGATAAGATTTTTTAATAGTTGAATGACTAATGTGTTTTTGCCCTTCAACTTTAGTTTTTCCATTTCTTATACTTTTATTCTGAATTTAGAATAAAAAAATTAAAAAAACAGTAATTTTTGTCAAATTATATGACATTTTGGGAATTAAACCATATGCAATTTCTATACATTACTTTACAAAAATGTTCTGAATTAATTTTAGCCAATACCTAATATTTCAGATATATAAAAGATGAAATAATAAAACATCTTCCGTAGTAAAGCCTTCATAAATTCCTTTCCAGCTGCATCTCTCCCTCATCAGAGAAACTCATTCATTGAACAAATACTTGACCTGTTTTAAAAAGTATTATTTTGATGTCAGATGTACATTATAAAGAGAATGATATGATGAAATCCTGCATACTTATCAGCAAGGTCCCCCCCCCCCCAAGCACAGAACTAAAAAATGTAACTAAAGGAAAACCTAACCCTCTTTATATATTAAAAACAAACAAACAAACAAAAAACCCCAAGAGACATTTTATAAACTCCTGAAAAATAGTAGCTKCAACATTATTTAAAATAGCAACATAAAAAATGGTAAACTGAGTTGAATCCCCTAACATATATAATAAAATTCATAACCCATTTACTTGAAGCACTATACAAAAGCAGGAACAGAATCTCTAATATATGACAGTTAAAGACATCACATGATACAGAGAGAGTTAACTTTAGCCACTTTTTCTTTTTTTTTTCTTTTTTATTATTTATTTTAATTAGGTATATATGACAGCAGAATGCATTTTGATTCATTGTACACAATTGCAGCACAGCTTTTCATTTCTCTTGTATTTATCAAGAATACAGACAACAGTAAGTTTTGGTGAGGATGTGGGGAAAAAAGCACACTCATACATTGCTGGTGGGGCTGCAAATTGGTAGAACCAATCTGGAAAGCTGTATGGAGATTCCTTAGAATACTTAGAATGACCATCATTTGACCCAGCTATCCCACTTCTTGGTCTATACCCAAAGGACTTAAAATCAGCATACTATAGTAACACAGCTACATCAATGCTCATAGCTCAATTCACAGTAGCTAAACAGTGGAACCAACCTAGATGCCCTTCAGTAGATGAATGGATTAAGAAACTAGTATATATACACAATGAAATATTACTCAGCATTAAAATAGAATAAAATTATGGCATTTGCAGGTAAATGGATAAGAGTTGGAGAATATCATGCTAAGCGAAGTAAGCCAATCCCAAATACCAAAGGCCAAATTTTTCTCTGATAATTGGATGCTGATTCATAATGGGGAGAGGGCATGGGAGAAATGGAGGAACTTTGGGCAAAGGGGAGGGGGGGTTTTGAAGGGGGATTAGGGAGGGTGAATGGTTAGGTACAGGAAAGATAGTGAAATGAGATGGACATCATTACCCAAGGTACATGTATGACCACACATGTGATGTGATGCTACATTGTGTACAGTCAGCAAGGTTTTTTACCACATTTACTTCAGCTGTTTTTGGTTTTTTTTTCCCCTTCTTGAAATATTTTAACGCAAATCCCAGTGTTATTTTATCACTTTGGTGCTTCACATACCAGTCTTTTAAAATGTGAGCCATATGTCTTAGATAGCCTCATGCTGTTAGAACAACTAGGATGATTATAATTCCCTAAAACCATCAATCCCTACCCCCATGGTTCCCAGACTGCTGAGTACTGTAGGTAGTGCACCTGACTACCTGGGACCCCAGGAGATAATTTAAATTTCAGGGGAAGGAGAAGAACAAGACATCTGTTGGACACTACATAACTGCTCCAAGGTGAAAGTAAATGCAGTCTTAGCAGCCGTCTCTGTTAAAGTTTAACAAAAAATTGAGTTTCTCATTCTCACTAGCCAGTGACTTGTGGCTACTGTGTTGGAGAGCACAAATATGGAGCATTCTGTTCACTACCAGAACATTGTAGAGTGTGGTTGTTTTTCTTGTTGAATTATACTATGGAACAGAAMGGAAACCAGAACTAGTTGAGAACAATAGACTTTGAATTTCTTAATTCAAATGTAACAGAAGAGTATCCAGTGAAAGAATGTTTTTAGTTAAAAGGAACATTTTCTTTTGATAGTCATATGAAAGTTGAGCATTTCTAATGTTAATTATCTTTAATTACAAGAACTGAATTTAGTTTCTTGTAGTAGAAGTGTATAGAGGGCATGCTATCTCTCTACTTAACCTGACGTTGTCCTTTTATCCTCAAAGTAATCTGTGAGGGAGTTAATATGGCAGATTGATTAATGTCCTAAAATTCAGGGCAGGTAACTGATAATGTTAGATGGTAGAGGCATGTACAATTGGWTTTTTATGTGGAGTGTTCAGTCATTCATTAGAATGTTTATTAAATATCTATGTTAGACATCAAGCTTAAAAAGGAACTTAAGAGGAACTTGCATATATGAAAAGAGAGGGAGATAGTTTGTATCTGTTCTGTCTACTCTTTGATTATAGTTCTCCTTGTATAAGCATTTTCTGTATATCATTTATTAAAATAATCATTTAAGATTAATATTCTTAGTAATTTACAAATTGATTAAAGCATGAAGAGATTTTTTTCCCCCAAGTTAAAATGTGTAGTCATTGGGATCAATGTTGGTCACACAAATTTCTTACTCTCATCTTATATGAGTTTCTTAACAATGTAGAAAGCAACTTTGTTTCTTTGTTTTTTTTGGGTGGGAAGACATCAATTTAGATTTAGATTATTCTTTGAGTCTGCATAAGAAAGTACCCTCTTCTCATTTCTCTGTGTTTTCAGCTGTGGAGACTTCTGTGCTTGAGACAGGATTAACGTGAGGYTTCTACATTTATAAAGGCCAAGCTTTTCTAACATGGAGTAGATGGTATTTAGAGCCTGCTTGGAGCCTTCAGATAGACCAGGGGTTATCCTTTAAATATTTATTTTAATAATTATTGATAATATGTTTAGAAGCATTGGGTTAAGGGTTTAGGAGGATGGTTTATTTTCTAATGAGTTTCCAGTTTATCACTTTGAGAAATCTGTACAAAATTTGCTTTTGACATAGAGTGAAGATTSTGGCCCAGAAAGCAACTTCTAGTTTTAGGTTTACTTTCCTGATTTGTAAGTCCAAATGCATAAATACTTTCAGATTTGCATTATACTACTTATTTTATATTTTGATTACTTGAAAATGTTTGTTTAGCAATGCAAGTGACATAAAGCATACCTTTCAAGAAGTCAGTATAATACAGTTTTCAGCCAGAATTATTGATAGGCTTTAAAAGATGTTTACAATTGGCTTTTTTTCATACAATTGTAATTACTTCAGAATTACTTGAATTATATTTTTAATCAGGATATAATATTTCTTTTGAATATTATCTTCTCTATCTGCTTTCCACAGGAAGAATTTGATGTTGGAAAAAAGCTGATATGCTCTAGTTTTATGTGTGTGTTTAAGTTGTACATGCAAAAAAGATTTCTAAACTAAGAAAAAATCATAAAGTAGAGATGAGCAAAAAAAATTGTAATAAAAATGCCATCTATCATACAAGTGAAGGATAACCATTTGGGAGTACATGCTTTTATTTATTTATTTATTTATTTATTTATTGAGAGAGAGAGAAATTTTTAATATTTATTTTTTTGTTTTCGGTGGATACAACATCCTTTATTTTTACGTTTTTTTATGTGGTATTGAAGATSGAACCCAGCGCCTCGCATGCCAGGCGAGCGCGCTACCTCTTGAGCTACATGCCCAGTCCCTATGCTTTTATTTTGCCTTTGTTACTATCTTGTTTAACTTTGCAAAGTTAGTTATAATACTCATTCATTTATATTAAAATTTATTAAATTTTTAAAATTTATAAATCATCCTTCCCAGCATGTACCAATATGCACTTATTTTGATTTAGGGCATTTCAATTGTTTTTCTTACTTCAAATTATTTTTTGTTGTTTTAGTGATGTTATAAGTTGCTTTGTGCTTTAATCTTTTTGTATATCTGATTGCTTGCTTACCATAAATTTCTAAAAGTACTATTTATGGATTTAAGATTATATTCTTTGTCAGATATTTTATATGTATTGTCAGATTAAAACATTGCAACTTTGTTAAACATATTGGTACTACAATTTAGTCACTTTGTTTTGTTTTTAAGAATATGAAGATGGTGACCTGTCAGGATGGATCAACAGGGAGAGGTTTCAGACTTACCTTACTATGGATGGCTTCCTCTTGTATGAACTTGGAGACACAGGTAACAAGCATATGTACAGCTCTTCATTACTCTTTGGGATTCCTTAATTGACTAAAATCGATTTCTAAAAGAAATGGATCATTATCTCCATTTCATGAAGTAAACTTGAATGTTCGCACTGCTTTTGAGAATAGAAACTTATTACCAAATATACTTGTGGGGGACAGGTCAAAGATTAGCTAAATACAGGGCTTACTAATCAAACTGATGACAGGAAGTCAAAAGGCCTGGATAGGAAGGGATTTGAAAAAGTTATCTACCAAGAGGCTATCCACAGGTTTTGTATAGGAGTTGAAGTAAAACTTATCAGAACCTTATTATAAGGTCTACTTGTACTTATGGTGGGTGGGGGAATGAATCAAACTGGCAATTTCTTAAAGTTACATGATTAAAAATGACAGACAAAGCAAATATGACATAAAAATGGAAGTTACAAGAAGTTAATTACATAGTTTTATAGATGCAAACTGCAAAACTTTTTTTTTAAAAAAAAAACTTTTTTTTTTTAAGTTTTAAGCAGRATCGTTTTGTAAATATACAGCAAATGAGAAATCATGGCTTCTCTTGCCATTTTTGTTTTAATTCACAATGTTAAGATTAAGCCTTCTGTAAATAGCCTAGTGTCTGGCACATTATTTGGCACTCAGTAATTGGTAAATTAACATGAAAAACTGTTCCTGTGTTTCTTGAATCTTTTTCGTACATGGGAAGATCCCATACATGTTGTAGACATTGTGAATAAAGGAAACTAATGAGGCATGTAAAAACTAAGAAGCACATGGTAAAAAAGCAAACACTGAATAGTAAGTGAAATATTTTAAGAATGGAAATAATCACTGTGAACTAATGTTTTCAGCAGAGTGTTAAAAGTATTCAAGATTGTGTGGACTTTAGAGATGTGTGTAAGCAACATTGGGGGCAATAGAAGCCATGTGTAGTGTGAGGAGGATGTTGAAAGACTATTAACTTAATCTTGCTTTGTATACCTGCTCAGAGCCACATAGTATCCCAGTGTTTTTGTGTATATAATCTCATTTTCCTCTCAGTGACTCTATAAAATAGATACTAATTTCTTGGAGTAAACTGAAGCTTGCTAAAGTTGTTACATAGCTAATACTTCAACTGAACCTTACCATTGCTCTCCCAGGGCTTGAATAGTGCCAAGAACATAATGTCCAGCACTGATGATTATATCATGCTAATCCTCCTAGAGCTTAATCACATACATTTGATTCATGTTCTATTTAAGATTAACATGAGACATTTAATTCTGTTTATTATTACTGGCAAATAGGCTACATAAAAACCATCTTACTGTTACATTCATTTTCTTTTTACTAACAACTATAACAATTCTTAGTAAACTTTTTACCAATTCACTTCTTATGGTTTCAGCTTTTAATAAAAAATTTATCTTAATCATTTTGTAGGTAGTGTGAAAACACAATTTGGGTATATAAATTGTTAATAGATTTACTATTAACATTTTGTGAGTGAGTGCTTGGAGAGAAATTATCACTTGAAGTTGACTAATTCACTGATTCTCTCTGATTCAAATGCATGTTATACTATAATGTTCTAGTTTAAGGAAGTTTAACATGTACGATAATTGTAATTAAATTTTAAAAACATTTTTTGCTATAATTCCTTATTCTCAATGAAAATGATAGTTTAAAAGTTSTTTAAAAAGAGTTATTGAACTTAGATATGTAATTCTTAATTTCAGGAAAGCTTGTGGCTATTGCAGTTATTGATGAGAAAAATGCATCAATTGAACATACCAGGTATAGTTGTCTTGAAATAGTTTTAAGCTTCTAATGTCATCTAATTCAGACTACATGTGGCTTTAAGTCAACTTGATACAGTAGTATTTTACTTTTGCTACTGCCCTTAAACAAGGTGGAAGATATTTGATACTTATATATATTTCAAGTGATGAATTGAAATATTTATGTATTTGTTCTACAGATTAAAGTCAATTATTCAGGAAGTTGCAAGAGAATACAAAGGCCACTTCAGTAGGTATGTGCTTACATTCTGGAAGATTTACTTATTTTTGTTTCATTTTATTTTGTAATATAGTAAAGCAAAAGTGGTAGTATAGTTTGAGCATCCCTAGTCTGAATATTGAAATGCTCTAAAATATAAGACTTTCTCAGCTCTGACATGTCACTTCAAATGGAAAATCTCACATTTGACTTCATTTGATGGGTAACAGTCAAAATGCAGGTGCACTTAACATATTGTGTCGCATTCCCTTCAAGCTGATTGAGGTGTGTATGAAATAAATGAATTTCATGTCTGGATTTGGGTTCTGCCTCCCATATATTTCATTATGTATATGTAAATTTTTCAAAATGATAAAAAAAAAATCTGAAGCATGACTGGTTGTGAACATTTCAGGTAAGGGTGCTCAGTCTGTATTCTGGACTTCCCAAGGTAAATCAGGGAACTGAAGTAAATGGTAGCTTGTAGCATTTCAGAGTTTTCTGGATCTTGAACTTGATTGATAGTGTGTCTTACAAGTTAGGAAAAGAATGYAGCCTTATTTATAATTTGTATCATACCTGCTTCCTTATAGTATTGAGACAGGTTTTATGGAAGGAAATAGATGCTCAGATATTCATAAATTTGAGGTTATGTTAYGTGAGCTGTCAAAAGTTAGAACAAAACTATAAAGATAATTGTAACAAGAACTCAAAGAATAACAATATAAAWATGTCATCAGAAATACTTTTGCTATTTGCCAAATCATTCTGTATGTTGCTGTCAAAAAAGACTGTGAGGGTCTGGAGTTGTGGCTCAGTGGTAGAGCATATGCCTAGCATGTGTGAGGCACTGGGTTCAAAAATAAAAATAAATAAAAATAAAGGTATTGTGTCCATCTACAACTAAAAAAAAATGTAAAAAGACAATGTGTATTTTTATATTATTTGATTTTTATTATCTTATTCCAAATCTAGTGAAAGGTTAGTAAGCCTACAAAATACACAGTAGGTTGTATCTTCTGAATGGTCCAGTTTTAGAGTAAATAGGTATTTTATCTTAAAACATATTTCTGTTAGACAGGATTTTATTTCCACACATCTAACCATTTATAAATGGAGATGTCTTAGAATTTGTTAGTGCTACTCATATATTTGTCTCAAAATCCAGTAGAAGTCAGATTTCCTATGTATGTATATTATGTGATTCATTCAGTAGATATTTACAGCTTATATACTTATCAAGCCCTGAAGCTATTTGTTGTATTGGTTGGCTTTTTAAATTTTTTTATTTTTTTTAAATATCATGCTCTTGGTTTTTGTTGTTATTTGTTAGGGATTTTCAGTTTGGCCACATGGATGGAAATGACTACATCAATACCTTGCTGATGGAGTGAGTAAAGTGCTGGGTGATTTTGCTATCACATCTTTAAATTTGTTTTTGAGAGATAGGTTTAACAGTTAAAAAAAAAAAAAAACTGTTGGTATATTCTGATGATAGCAGTCTTTCATTATTTTACTTTAGTTTCTAAATTCTGTGTATGAAACTTACTGTGTTTTAATATTGCTGTATACTAAAAATATTTGTCTCCCAGCTCAGTGTTATAATTCATACTATTCTGAAATGACATTATTCAGAAACTCTGATTTACATACTTTAACAAGTTCATTTTTAATAGGTAGTTATAACTATTAAATATAAAATTTTGAACATTCAAAAACTAACTGCAATTATACAAGAATTTATTTTAATAGATTAAAATAACTATGTAGGAAAAAATGTGATTTTATAATTATTTAACCTAGTATGTTTTTGTAACTATTTGATATTAACTCTCTCATTCTAATAAGGATTTGAGAGTAGTTTGCGAAACTATGTTGTGGACCAGATATAGAATACAATGAAATCAAGAGAATGAAAAAGCACAGTTTCTCTGTAGAGTATTTGAAATAGCTGACCCTAAATTTTTTAATACTCAAAGTGGAAAAACAGTTTTTTTTATGCTCTCCCATTGTTATAGGATACCTGTTGGTTTTAGGAAGTGTATGGTTGACCTCATCAACCTAAGAGAAGTTTATGAATGGGACACTCTGCAATAGAATTATATTTTCATGTCCCAGGATACAATTTGCCTTGTTGAGGGTTCCAAGTACACTTGAAAAATACATGTGTTCTGATGTTGTTGGGTAAAGTTCCTACACAGTGTGACAAAGGGAGAACAGAGAATTTGCAATCGACATATCATATATCATAATGTTTATCTTTACATTTAATCATGATTACTCAGCTCTCTGTTATATTATACATTAGAATGTTTTTCATATAATTTAACTTATATAATAAATTATATATTATTTCATATAATATAATTTAATTTCAAATTGATACACAATTTGAAATTATAGGTGAAGCTATTGATACAGCTTCCTTTTTCTATAATTATTGAGATATAAAAATTCCAGAATATTTGTTATCAATATGTTTAATGTTTATTTGATTTCTTTTTATGTTTTCAGTGAATTGAAAGTCCCAACTGTAGTTGTACTGAACACATCAAACCAACAATACTTTGTGCTAGATAGACAGATTTCAGATGCCAAAGACTTGATCGAGTTCATAAATAACATTTTGGATGGCTCAGTAGAAGTAAGTGGTTCAGTTCTCTTTCAGAGGAATGATAGGAGTAGAAGAGAAGCAAGTTGTTTTCATACTTCTGATTCTGAAAGGAATAGCAGGCCCTTGCTGAGGGGTGAGAGGGAACATTCTTCCATGTGATGGTCTCTCCTTTCATAGGCATTGTCACATTCTCTCAGACATAGAAGATCTTCTATGGAAGTAGCTAACAGGTGGGAATGCCCCCTTGGAGGGTAATTTGGAGACATTTGGGGTGCCACAGTGATGGGGGAGGTGATACTGGCTTTTAGAGTTGGCTCTGAATGCTCAGAGGTCCTATATTGTGTGAGGTAATCCCTGACTCTAAATACTGCTTAGTTCCAAAAGGACCATTGAATTAAGTTATGAGGATGAGTTTTCTAGGAAAATTTATGAAGAAGACTACAGTTTCTTAAGAGGTAAGGATATTCATTAARAATCAAACCCCTGTGGAGAATTTCAGATATAATCTTATAAAATATATCTCAGAAATAAGTGAATAGATTGCCTTAGTAATATATTGGTTTTTTGTTTTTCTATAAATCTTAAGTGGGTTGCCACCCTTAGCATTAAAGGATCATGTTTTTCCTTCTAGGTCACAGGTTGTAACTAGCACACATCTTAATAGATTCAAAGAAAATAAGAGACTTTATTGCTTTCATGAAGTTTAATTATTATTATTTTCTGTAGATTTTCATTTTCAGCTTTACACAAACCTTATTTGAAACATAATATGCATATCTACCTTGCATCAAAGTCGAGAAGTTTCTAAAACCCTCTTAATCACATAGTGGGAATTTTATGTTTGCAGAAATAGTATTTTGGTTCAAATGAAACTTGTCTGTATGAATGAGAACCCTTCCATTGTAAGTGAGCAGATGGCTTGAACTGTTTAATAACACAGAGATTACACTGGTCCTCATAGGTTGGTGATTCAGAGTGGGCCAGAGTTCTTGGATGGCTGAGAGCAGGGATTGGATTGATTTTCATCAGGAACTTTTTTCTCTTTGCCTTTCAGCACTTCCTTTTGAGCTTTATCCTCAGGGAGACTTTCCCCAAATGATAACAAAGGTATCCTATAGTAGTTCTAGTTCAGCAGTCCCAGATCTAAACTGAAAAATTGGGCATGCCTGGATTTAGGGAGTAGGTCAGGTTCAGCTAAACTGCATGGATTATGAATAGGAGAGAATTAAATTCTTCAGAAGAGAATCAGGTTGTGTTAACACAAGAAGACAAAAAAAAAAAAACAGCAAATATGTTAAAATGGCTTTTTCAGGTGTTTTATGAAACATTTTATAGTCAACCTTTTGGCCTCCGGTAACATTTTAATTTTTGTTTTCTTATTAAATTGAAGGCCCAAGGAGGTGATAGCATTTTGCAGAGATTGAAAAGAGTACTATTTGATGCCAAGTCTACTGTTGTGGTAAGTTGGACAGTTTGTTTAGTGTCATTGGAAGCTTAGAAAGTATGGGTTCTTCATGTCTAATGAGGGTGAMATAGAGAATTTCAAAGGATTTGTTCAAAGTGTGTCTTCAATTTGAAGGGTATGAACTGCATCCATCTTAGAAATTAAGTTTCTTTTTTTAATACTTATTTTTTAGTTTTCAGTGGATACAACAACTTTATTTTTATGTGGTGCTGAGGATCGAACCCAGCGCCCCACGCATACCAGGCGAGCGCGCTACTGCTTGAGCCACATCTCCAGCCCCAGAAATTAAGTTTCTCTAATTATTTCCGTATGATTGAAGAGATTACTGAAATTCAGAATCACTAAATGCACTAAAAAACTATTTCTCCAACCTAATGAAAATTTAGATAATAGGAAATTTTTATTTCTACTAAGCATTGTTTCCTGTGAATTGGTCATTTTTGTTGAAAAAAAAAGTCTCAAGAATTCCTTTTTTTTTTTTTTGCAATATTCAAAGTAAACTTCCAGATCTTAAAGTTTTAGGCATCCCCGTGATTTGTATAGTTTACCCAGATCTTTCCTTTTATAGTTTCATTTTCGAAATATGTTTCCTCAGCTTTATTCACTCCTTACCTGATTTTTTCTGCCATTCTAATTTCCATCTGTTTACCATATGAAACTTCCATGCAGTCTCACTGATAGCCTGCTGATAGTTGAGTCTTCTGGTGTATTCCTTTTGATTTCTTCAAGGAATCTCTTCTTCGCCATTCTCCTTTCCCTGCTGCTGTGATACTTACTACTTCCCCCACCTCCACCCCATTTCTCCAATAATCCATGCCTTTCCAGTGTCTCTTTCTGTTGCCCACTTGAGTCCTTGGAGCTGAGCCTTCTTGCTTGTAAGTGTATTCTAAAAGCTCATTCTCATTCCCCAGCTTCAATTCTTAGTCACCTTGATAGTAGAGCATGTTAAAATTTGCTTGAGGCCTAAACTTAGTTTTAATTATCTATCATGAGCCATGCCATCAGCATTTTCACTCTTCCTAGCTGAAAGCAGGCATGCAACTATAGTAGMCTTCTCTATTCTGAGAAGTGACTCTCATAATCTGTGGCTTACCGTGCATAACATACTGTTTCTTCAGTTTATCAGTGGCATTTCTTAATTTTCCTGTTGCCACCAACATGGATTAGACATTATCAAACTATTTCTCCTCTTTACCTGGTCTCCACACTTCGCTCTTATTGGTCTCCATTCCATTTTGTAAACCACTAATGCTTCTAAAATAATCAACTTTGGCCATTGTTCATCCTTTTTCCAGGGATGCACATCAGAATGTGAATGAACTCTGTCCATCTAAAATACTTTCTCATTGTTTTTAAAATGTTGCACAAAGTTTCCTGGATCTAATTGCAAGTACTCACATTATGCCTTTTTCTGCCTCTTTCTTCCTTTTCCTATTTCTACCTCAAAATATACCCTGACTCTGTGTAGCCTTCTTCTGTTATCTTAATCCAAAATAATGATCTTTCTGAACTTATGTATATTGTTCTTKTGAGTTACAAATGCAACCCATAAAATACAATGTAGTGGAAAAAACATTTCATAAAATTACTTTTGTTTTTGTGGGAGCTAAGGAGATTACATACAACATGAGAGAAACTAATAAGTGAATGATGCTTTACTGCTTACCAGATGAGTAATAAATGATAAAAAACATCATGTGAAGGGAATATGTATATACTCTCTTCATGGTAAATAACTCCACCTTTGCCATGAGCATCAGATTCCTATAGTTCAATGAATAGCTCAAAAACTGGCAGGCATAGTAATCACCTTAAAGAGACCTTTCAGTTAAAATGAGAAAAATGAGTTTTTTAAAAGGGGATTTAAGCAATGTGGTATACACACACACACACACACACACACACAAAAGCATGTGTGTGTGCACATTTACATGCATGGATGCTGAATCTCTCTCTTATGGTGTCTTTAGCATGGTAGTTATTGTTTAAGTGTTGACATTTAAATATTGACACTTCAAGAAAGTTGATAAGCAACAAGAAGAAATTTGCAGTGGTTTTAAATTTATTGTGTGCTTTTTACATCTGAGGGCAACTGAGTTTTATTTATCTTTCCTCAGTCGATATTCAGGAGCTCGCCACTTATGGGCTGCTTTCTCTTTGGCCTGCCACTGGGTGTCATCAGTATCATGTGCTATGGAATCTACACAGCTGACACAGACTCAGATGGAGGTTATATGGAAGAGCGATATGAAATGTCTAAAAGTGAATTTGAAATCCAAGAACAGCCAGAGGAGAACACAGATCAAGAGCCAAACAGTGGAGATTGTACAGCACCTACTGCCCAAGAGCCCAAGGATGTGTTAGAGAAAAAGAAAGACTGAGACTTGACTAGTATAAAACATTTGATAGGATTTCAAGTCATTCAAGAGTCTATTTATTGGATATAGATATTCAATCATGATCTTTACAGAAGAGAACATGTTATTTGTACTTTGCTAATATCAACTGCATGGATTCAAGTAGTCCTTCTACAAAGGGGGAGATATTTGGAGTAAAGAAACGGTGTATCTAAAACAAACAGAATCAAACCACTCCATCAGAGTTTACCTTATAGATGTTATTATAATAGGTCAGTTTTATTTGCATGTTTCTCTATCTGAATATTCTCTGACAAAGTTAGGATTCTTGGAGAGAATATTTAAATTGGTCATTCAGGTAGAAAGTACATGTCTGATAGAGAAAAAAATAACACATCTACCTACAGCTATCCATTCTCATATATTTTGCATAAGATTTGTATGGACAATGTAAGTCTTCAATAAAAGTTAGGCACTTTAAGGAAAACTAACAACTTTTTCCATGTATCACATTAAGATTACAAGGTTAAAAGTGATGTGGTTTTATATATAGCATAGTGCTTTTATTTTGTTAGTTATTTTTAAAGGAGAGGAAATGTTACTTTTTAACTTTATACTTGGTTTCATTATTATAAAATTTTCATATGAGCCTGTATAGTGTGTGGGGGGAGTTTTGTGGTTGACCTTTGCAAAATAACCAGGTTGTGCAGGGAACAGTAACTTCAGCCCGTTCCTGGGAATGCTCGMTAACCAGTTGTCTTCATCAGTCATTCCAGGAAGGAAAGGAGCTATGTCAATCCTGTCTTGCTTAGCTTTAGCCAAAGCAGCTTAGGATTTTTATGTTCTTTCTTTTTTATTTTGTATATTGAAATTTCTTCTAAAATTTCATTTGATTAAAAAATCTGGCTTTTGAAAAGTAATATATCATATTTTTGTTTGTGGTAAGTTTACTTTATAGCAATTTAAAATCTGAATTATCGCACATCTATTTTGTAATGCCATTATGAACACATGTTCATAATGAGTAATGAGTGACATAATTAGCATGTCAAGCAGTGTGTCACGCACAGTGAGAAAAATAGAGATGGCTGGTTACTTTCTCTGTTCTCTGARTTCTGTCATCCATTTCAGTGAGTATCTCTAATCTCATTTATAATGAAACCGTGTAGGAATTCTAACACAGTAATATCTAAAAATTGGTATTTTGCAGTAAGCTTGATATGCTTATTGTGGATTAATTTGTTATTTTTGAGGCCTTTGTTTACGTAAGTTTGGAATTTTTACTAGGTAACTTATTTAAGTACTTATTCTTTAGTTTTATTATCCATTGTAAAGATTGTCTTGATTGTATTAAAAATGTTTAATCATTTTAAAAATATGTAATTTATGGTCCTTACACTGAAGTTATTTAGGGCTTTGATTGCCAAAGGCAGCTTTTGGTTGTTTCTGATGCCGTACTAATCTGGAGTAACTGAAACTCTTGTATCTTAAATGCTGCAGAATTACAAATAATTGTTTTGTTGTGTTCATGTGTTCTTTTAGCATATAATAATTAAATATCCATCTTTAATGTTTGACCCCTTATTAACTTTTTTAATAATGAAATAAGTATGTAGTCAGAGAGAATTTCAGGAAATACTAAAATGAAAAGTTCTCAACTGGAAATTGGACATAAATGCTGGTAATTCAAAAAGGAGATTCCTCTGCATAGAATACAGAGAGTATCTTTGGGAAGATAATAATGTTCCCAGTGATCAGACTGGTTTTGCAGTAGAAAAAACTTAGATAAGTATAGAGCCTCATTTAAGACTCAGTTTAGTAAAGAAGTGAAATAAAATTACAGAAAATGTCATTGATTTTTTTTCCTTCATGTTTATCACTATCAGATGTTAGTTTGCATATTTTTGTGTTATTATTCATCACCTATACAGAACACCTCTGTAGGGAAAAGAGTAAAGTTCAGGAAGCAAAAATCCAGTGATGATCCTTTGTATTCTGGGACATGGCCCTTTAGTTCATGGCCTTAGATCTCTGTCATCCTTTGCACAACTCTGTGCTCTTGCCTCATGTGCTCTTTGCACATTTTAAGTGTGTTTATTGAGAAAACAAAATGTATAGGTTGTTTGATAAGTGAATGTTTTTTTTTCTTTTTGTATTAAAATTTTGCTTTTAACTTGTTTCTGTTTTAGAATATTACTTTGTCAGATTCCTCACCAAAAAAAAAAGTTTCACTTGTGTGCTTTTTCCCTTCAATGTGATTATCAGAGCTTTACTCTGAATGCTGTTTTCATTTCAGGAAAAATTATTTAAAAATAAAGGTGTATCTCTTAATAATTAAATCTGGTAGACACAGTGATAATTCAGATGATGAATTACATGATTACATATCTTTAATAGAATCCTTCAGGAAACTGGAGTCCCACTTTCTCTTTCAGTTGCAGCAAAGTTCCATATCTATTTTCTGGAATTCAAAATTCTAGATCCTTGAACAATATTACCAATACTCCAGAGGGAAAATGCATATTTTTATCATGTACCCTGTGCACCCCATGGTAGCGCACAACCTTTTTTGTTTCACTGTATGCATCAGTATTTCTCTAGCTACTGTCTGAAACTTGTTTGAAGGATATTAAATCTGGAATTTTCATTTTCTTCCTCACAGTGCTTCCTGGTATCTGATTTAGAAATAACATTTAAGATGCCAAATGTTTTAAGGTTGAAGGAAGGGTCTATGTGAGTAGTTAAAACAGCTGTTTGGTGGATTTTATTGTTAATGATGTTCCTTGTGTTTTGATTTTGGGGCTTTTTTTTGTTTGTTTTAGTTTTGTAAAAAGTAATATAAATAATTTCATCATTGTTYTGTATGACCAAGAGGTAGGACAAGGTGGAAAAACTACTTAGCTATTCTTATTAAGCAGGACTTGTTGAAATAAACCAGTGTGAGAGTGAGATATTATGACTATCAATTAATTGGTAGGGTTAAGTTTACCATTTTATTTTTATAATTCTTTTTTTTTTTCCTGAATGTGTGAGTCCAAGAGTAGACAAAAAATACTTTTCTTCTTTGGACTAACCTCTGGTGGTTTTTGAAAGTCTGTATTACTAACTTGTTGAATTCATGATATTCTGTCTTATAGCATCAGTTGTAAACATTTGTTTTTCTAAAATAAAGTAATTCAAAACGTAGTTGTCTGTTATTTTTACTATGTGTCCTTTGGCAGTTTGCCACATGAATAGTTCTGTAGGAGCAAAGACAGCAACTAATACCGATCTTCATACAGTTTTTATTTCTTTTGTTAAAATTTTAAGTAATTCATAATTGGAGTTTTAGAATTTAAGCAGATTTGAGATCAGATTGTAATCTTATTCCCTGATAGATTTAGAACTTGGGATTCATGAGTTTGGTATATTTTGTATTTGTAAAACTTGGTATCTTTTACACGCTGATTTTTCTAAAAGGGTGCCTCACCTGCTTTTTACAACATTTAAAGATAGAATTGAATTTGTATTCTTAAGTCTGCTGTAAAGTTATGATCTTGGTACAACATGGCCTCAGCCCCCTCACTGTATTGTCAATGAAGTGAGAATTTAAATCCTCAGTGTTTTGTTTTTTTGAAATGGCATCGGTTGAGAGTATATTACAAAACATAAATTTATACAAGTTAATTTAAAAATTTGTCATTCTATACCAAGAGCATGTGTTTTAATGGGAATAACTGGCACAAGAATAACAGTCAACAAAAATGAACCTGTGAATTTATGAATTTGCACTGACTAGCTGGTTAAGATAGTTGCTTCTGAGAAGGGCCTAGCACGTTGAGCTCCACAGAAGTGTGGCAGAGGCACCCTGTCTTGACAGGAGCTCCYGTGTCATGCTGCCTGGTTCATACTCTCTCCCTCGTGTGCTGTGTGAAGTTGGATAAACCACTTGACCCCTCTGCTCCTGAGTCAAATATGATTGGGGATAATGACACCTATTTCCTTGGATTGTGAAGATTAAATGAAGCATGTTTGGAACAGGGACTTGATTTCTCACTTCATTTAGAATTTTATAGTTGTTTACCACAGAGAAAAGGCAAGTCATTATGAATATAAAATCTTTATGTTTAAATTTGCTTGGCTACTTTCAGCAATTTAAGTTTTAACATTCTGAATCAAAGTGGAAAAAAAGTATTGAACATTGAAATTAAATAATTATAAATATTTAGGTTTAGACATCCCTGAAAAAGCCTCTGGTCTTTGTGCTTTTTTTATTGAAACAAAATGAATAAACACAAAGAAAATGTAAGTATCTGGTAGAATAATTGATTGATTTCTGTGAATGTTTGTTTAGATAGGTAAATATGTGATTTGGAATTAGGATATGAATGCATGTTGCATACAAATGAAAAGATTATTTTCCTGCAAAGATTCCTGGCTAAAACTCAAAGTATTCCAGTGTTTACTAAGCCCATCTCCTACAAACTGGAATGGTGTTTTAATCTAGTGAAAAATTGGCAGTGATTTTCTGTGACTTAATCTTTCAACAAATGTTTATTAAATGTTGTCTTTGTACCACCAAGATTGCAGCATTCAAAGACAGGTCCCAGTCCTTATGGAGTTTTAAGCTACTGTAATTGTCAATCCATTTGTATTTAAAACTTTCAATTYTATTTTTCTGTTTTTCTTAATTTCCCTTCTTTTGCAATCCATTTTTCAACATAAAAGCATTGTTGTATCTTTGGGACAGTATTGGTGACCAGGGCCAAAGAGAATTTATTGTCAGTTTTCTTCAAATAATGGAGAGTTGGATTTATTCTGCATGTCTGCAACTGTGGTGGTACCAGGGATGGAGATAAAGGGAGATGGAATGCAGTTCAAAGTAAGGAAACAATAAAAGAACTGTCCAGAGAGAGAATGTTGGAGGCTCAGGATCCCCACACTGAAAATGACCAAGCATAAGCCAGACTGTCCTTTGGTACTGGTTCCTTTTGGTCTGGGATTCTGTTGTACACAACAGTCCCTTCTCTTTCCAACAGAGAAAGTCAAGAAGGTTCTTAGCCAAATCTGATGYATTCAGTTTTAGGTGGATGGCTAAGACAATTCAGTGAACCTGAAGAATACCTAGAAACTCAGAATATTCCTTCACTCTGGAAATTTTTCACAGAAATCCTCATTATTGTCTTCGTAAGTGAACAGGGTCACCTGGTGATGTATATGACTGGTTTTGTTCTAACAGAATCGTTTGATATATCACAGTTTCTATGTCTGATGTTGTCACTGAAAATTTTCTTGCCATTCTAAGAACCCAGCCAAAAATACAGTAAACAGATGTTAATGGCTTATAGGACAGCACTTAAGATTGTGAGCTATGAACAAATAATCTGTGTAACTAACCTGTTAAATTCTTTTGTCTTTTTTCCCTCTTTAAACTGACCATCAGAACATTTTTATAAGCATTCTGAATTGGCATTATTGAGATTACAAGATTATATAACTTCTCTGAACAATAATACATCATAACTGTAAATCAAGTAATTGAGGGAATGACTTAAAATATGAAGGATTTTTGTAAGGATTTAAAGGGGACTATCAAGGAATAATTTTGGAAGAGTAAATAAATTTAAAATCCGTTCACCTCATATTTGGATATAGGTGACTTAACGCTTTTCATTAAAGACTAGTTATTTTGCTAAGATGATCATAAATTTCCACCCCAATTATCYGATTATCCTTCTTGAGAAGGATAGAATTACTACTGATAAGCACCATGCTTAGCATGTTTGGTTTGCATTAAAGAATATCAACAGTTGTGTAGTAGTTTGTGTGTGGGAAGATTTTGAATTCTAGTGCTCTGGAAGCCACTGCGATACAAGTTCATTGACTTTAGAGGACGGGCATGAAGTTCACAGTCTGAACACTAGGATGTAAATTACAATGAAATCATATTACTTAAAATTACAAAAAAAATGTTTGGATGGAATAACAATGTTTTTAAATAGTTCATTGGATCAATTGACATTGATTGCTTATACACAAATGGATAGACTAAACATTTGAGAATATTTTATGGTTTTTTTGTTTGTGATTTATTTTTAAACTTAGACTGCAGTTCTTTAAGGTTGTTGATGTCATAATCTCAGATACTCTGAAATAACTGAATTGCTAGCTTTGAAAATATTAGAAATATTTTTCTTCCAAATAATATTTCATAGTATTCCACCTCATAGAATTTCTGTTGTCTCCCTTCCCTAACACTGGATCTCCATCATTGCAGGGATGCAGTTACATAGGAAAGTATGAGGTATTATTCAGAAGTATTACTGAGGAAAAACTGTCATTCAGTTTTTTTAAGAGTTGGATTATGATTCAAAGGACTCGGGAGATAAATTGATATCTGAGTATAATCATTCAATAATTGTTTAATTTGAACACTTGACGTTTCTTCATTGTTATCTCATTGGCTGAATTAAACATTGGATGGGAGCAGTCTCCTGGCTCCCAGCAATGAAGCCAGAATGTTAAGCTGTTGATGGTGTGTGATCCACACAGAGGTTGGAGTTGTATGGGACATGGTAGAAAAACAGGATATTGGACTGTGTCGACCACTTCCTGGGGCCTTCGGGAAGGTCTGGTCAAGAAAGAGAAGACAGGAGAACAGGAAGGTGAACACTCAGAGCCTCCTGCCTAGAGAGAGCAGTGCAGCGTGCCAGGAAGCAAGCTGTTTTCCTGTTTTACCTGCAAACAGATTTCTTGCTCAAGGTCAAATTAAGGAAGAGAGTGAAGTACTGACATAATTGGTACCCGCAGGCACTGGAAACCTGAAGGCAGCCCCACTTGCCACCCTCTGACCCTGGACCCAGCACTTGCTGCATGCTTTGCCATTCCCCTCCACCACCAGCAGGCTACACAGCAGGGCACCATGACTAACTCATCTTCCAGATCTGAGATTTCAACCACTTGTAAAGATGGTATACAGATTGAAAGGCCAAGACCCCAGAAAATCCCTGACTTTGGTCATTGGTCATGGATTCCCTGGAAATCTTAAAAAACAAGTACCTGAACTAAATTTTTATGGGAGCTATATTCCCAGAGAATCTCCTAAAGCTTAATATAAAAGATCTACTAATTCCTCAACACTGAAATGATGCTCCGTAACTCAAAATCTTATCCTAATCCTCCTTTAGGTGGAGGATACCTACATGAGCTCACCATACTGCCAAGCTATGCTGTCTTTGCTCAGTCA